AAAAATATCTTTCCTTTCAGCTTGACTGATGGATCTCTTTCTCTACCTCTCATTCTACTTCAAAGGATGCTGAAAGCTAATGCAGCAAGAGAAAATCTTTATTCCTCCTACTGCCTTCAGTGAGGAAACAGGTTGAAAACAAATCAAGACCACTGCTGTTGCTACTGGCTTCACCCTTTTCCTGTTAGAAGGCTCAATCCTTTCTTAAACCTGAGCTTCATCTTCATTTTGATCCTTCATCTTAACCTTGACCCTTCATCTTAACTTTGACCTGGTGAGTCTATTTTTAGAGTGTCTGCAGTTTGCTCTTGGTCCCTGCCACACAACTTAACCAAAATAAAAGAAGATTCTGCTCATCCATCTCTAGCAATTTCTCTAAGGAAAAGGGGTAAGGATCAGAACAAAAAACAAACAAATGAATCCAAAAGACCTTACAAATAGTTAATTACTAGGAAACCCAAGATAGTTCTACTCTCCCTGAACTCCTAATGGTAAACCAGAGTAAACATACCATAGGAAGGAAAGGAAAGCACTATACAAGACCTTGGAATCAAATAGATCTGGTTCTCAACATAAAAATTCCCAGCTGTGTAAACTCAGACTAGCTTCTTAACTTGTACTCATCCCTTCATCTTCCTGAGCCTCCATCTATCAGGTGAAAAATATGACTACCCATACCATCTCCTTAATTGGTAGGGATGGTTGATTAATGAGATAATGCTTGTAAACCACTTAATAATGGCTAGCTCATAAAAAAAATCCTCAATAAATGTAGGTCACATGTACTAAGAAGTGAAAATTCAAAACCAAAGGCACAAATTCAAGACAATAGTCCAGAGAGAAGGCATCTTTGTATTAATTATGGTAAATAAACAATAATCTACTCAGAACGAGGAAACCAATGTCTCATCCAATATCCAACCAACTTATATCAAAAAGCTGAATTCTAGAGCAGACAGTGCAAAAGTCCTCAAATTGGGTTGTTAATTAGGGAAAAGAAATAAAATAATTAGAGAGTGGTTTGAGCTGATTTATGATTCATTCCTGACCTAGAATGTACCATTGTGAATTTTTTTAATTGATTTTATTTTTTAAATACATGATAGCAGAGTGCATTACAATTCTTATTACACATATGGAGGACAATTTTTCCTATCTTTGTATATAAAGTATGTTCACGTCAATTCATGTCTTGGTACTTTTTTTTTCATTACATTAAAAAAGCTCATCATGTGGCCAATGGCATACTTAGACTCACTTAACTTTACATAAGTATGCGTTGTATCTTGCATCTCTTCATTAGCATTGAACTTGAAGAGTGTGACATTACTCAAAGCTTCAGACGCTAAGTCTGCAGTCAGCCAACACCATGACTCTGGGACTGAGGTGAGGCAGAGCATCATGGTGGAAGGACATGGTGGAGGGAAGCAGCTCCACCTGATTTGGACATGGCAAACAGGAATATGATCTTTGGATTTGGAAGTATATAAATGTAGATAACAAACTTATTTTTAAAATCTAGACCCTGAAAACTTCAAAGTCTGGTGAAAAGGAGTAACATGTGGCCGGTAATTTTTTTTTTTTTGGGGGGGGGGACTACATATATGCAGGACATGGGAAAAAAACAGAAAACAAGGACAAAAAGTAACCTTTACAGAAACAAAATATTGCCCACAATTTAAAATTTCTGATATAATCAAAAATGTCAATGAAAGGCTCATCTCTGAAAGTAATTTGGCTTATGGTATGGGATCTCAAATCCAGCCAACAGAAAGCTTCTAATTCACACATATCTAAGCAGTTTGGCGGTTCTGTTATGTTTTTCTTGAATGGAAATAGAAAGATATAAGCATTCCTTTAGAGAATGAGTTATAAAAGTCATTATAATATAATTCCTATCTTTAGTCAACGTATAATCTCTTCCAAGCATTAAAGTAATACAAAAAGTTATTGGTTGTTCGTTCAGTCTCCATTTTTAAGAAAGCTTGAACATGAGTGAAAGTTACAGAAGCTGCAGAGTGAGGGTGACAAGCCACCAGGAAAAGTGGGGAACCAAATATTGTCAACTCTTTTAAGTCTTGAGCCATGAAACACCTTTTTTTTTTTCAAATGTTTGAAATTCTCATTCAAAAGAAACAAATCAGGAAAGCCCATAATGGTAGCTCTTAAATCAGAGTTTATATTCAAGAATCCAGATTTGGGGAAAGGGCAGCTTCAAAGTGATAAGCCCTGATAGTAACTAATAAATGAAAAGAAATTTTGATAATTCTCTTTGTTTTAGTCTCTAGCAGATCTCTAGTATGTTGCTGAAAAAAAAAAAAATCAAGAGGTCAATGGAGATAAAATGGTACTGAATTGAATCCCAAGCTGGGAGGGATCTCAGTGATCATGTGTTCTACAAGCTCATTTGATGATTCAATTGGAGCCAAGTCCATAGCAAATAAAGAACAGATCTGGGTCTGGAATTCAGATTTCTTCATTCCTATTTAAGTATGCTGTTAATCCTTTCCTCTGACATGGAGAATAGAAAGAAAAAAAATATTATCAATTCTGGAGTCTAGCCCTCAGAACATTTCAGTTGCTTAGGCTTTCTGTAGAGAACAGGAACCAGGCAAATATTATACACAGTTAATTATCATTATTTATGGTAGTTATGTTCTCTAAAGTTGCCATGAAGATTGATTAGCTATTACCAAAAAATTGCTTCTAGCAGAAACACAGGGTTAGGTTCCTTTAAGTCTCTGTGTACAAAATCTTTCTCAACTGATCAATAYGTAACCCTTTGCAGTTCCGGAAGCCTGGACAGTCAGAAGATCAAAGTGTTCAGTGTGTAGTCTAAACCTTAAGAAATTACCATTTTTATAGGTTAAGCATGGTCCAAAATCAGGAGATTTGAAGAGGAATAGCAGGATGGAACTATTAGCTTCAGAACATTAAAAGATTTTAGCATGTGTTGGAGTGCTTGGACTGGCTGAGAGTCCCAGGAGACACTAGGGCCTAGTTCATAGCAGCTGCTGGGGTAAGTCTATCTGGAGGGGTTCAGCCTGGAGGAAGGACAGTTCACAAGCCTGATCAGGCCTCCAACAGGAAGCTTATTCTAACCTTTCATATTTTGAATTATTCTTTTTTCCTGGACAGGCACAGTGTGAAGTTGTATCCTTGGATACAAACAAAATTCAAAACAAGAGTGATGGAAGAAGGGGATTCGGGAGGGGAAGGTAAAAGAAAGAGAAAAAAACCCACACAAAGATTTCTTGATTATACCTGACAAATGTAGCAGTTGTTTTAACTATAATTAAAGGCAAAATATGAAAACAGATGTTTTCTCATTTTAGGCACAGAGCATCATTCTTCATATCTTCAAAGTTCCTCTCATATGCCTGCCTTTAAGAATATCCTGCCATCCTCTCATCTAGGCCTAGAGTGGCATATGTAGATCCTAAATGTCCTGCAATAACTGAAGCCACCTCAAATGTGAAAGTTCTACCATTGGAAATCAGGAGAAATCTAAGAGAGAAACTCAGCCAACTCCCCAGAGGAGAGCTTACAATGTGGATAGGTATCGACAAAGAAATACCTCAAAATTCTTCATATATAAACTAAAATTAATCCTAAGGGACAAATGACAGATACTATAATTTTTTTAGTATGGACTGGCTGACCCTATAATAAATATATTAACAGTAAAAGTTGTAATCATATTAACAATAATATCATGAACAACTCTTGCTAAGCACTTGGAATACATTGTTTGACAAAATTTTCTTCAAACTGTTTCTAAGATGGCTTTGTTCTTTCCAGTAAACTGATGCTTAGGAAGGTGTTTTTGTTTTTTTGTTTTTTTTGTTTTTTTTTTTTTGTAGTGGTGGTGCTGGGGATAGAACCCAGGGCCTTGTTCATGCAAGGCAAGCACTCTACCAACTGAGCTATATCCCTGGCCCAGGAAGGTGGTCTGCAAGGTCAATCAGTTAGTAATAGCTGTGATTATGATCTCAGCAAATTGACTCAAAAGCCAATGCTCATTCCCTTCTCGTAACTCTGAGATCCAACAGTTAAGACTTCTGGCAATAAAGACCCTTTAAAAAATAAAATGGGTATTCTGAAAACTAGGATTTTACTTTTAAGAGGGCAGTGTTCCAGTAGCTTTCTTATACCAGTGATATTTCTTCCTTCTTGATATCTCATGTCCAAAATCCAATTAAAGAATTTACAGAAAATTAAAATGAGAAAATTCGCAGGGATCTTCCTAATGTTCCAAAGAAGAAACCTCAGTGAGAACTGGGACAAGAGAAACCCCATAGAGAGCTGTCAGCCAATTACTGAGAGACACAGTCTGCCTAATTTTCATGCAAGCAAACATCATCACAGATGCTTTCAAAGGTCAAGTTGGAGTGAGTGAGGTAATGCTGTTTGGGGAGTGAAATAAACATTACTTCGATTTTGCTCTAAGTTTTTTTTTTTTTTAACTTGTTTTTGTTTTCCTTGTCTTTCTAGCTCAATTTTGAATGCCCTGTTCTTTTTAATCAAAATCATCCTCTCCACTCCCATTTTTCCCACTCTGTGTCGAAAACATAATATAGACTTCCCTCAGTGTGCAGATTCTGTCAAGACCCCTCACTTAGGTCGACACTATTTTCTTACTAGAGTTGGAGACTTTTAAGGGTGTGGAAAATGATGTTGGATTTGACTTGGCAGAACGTAGGAGACAGAGAAGGAAAGGTGGCACAGGAAGGGAAGGAAGGGTCTCCTGTCCAAATAATCTTGATTTCTAACCAAGAACATGACCCCCAAGTTAAGCATTTTCATAGATAGTCTTAACAGTTTTACAAGATTTTTTTTTTCTGTCTTTCAAAATGTGCTTTCAACAGTCGTACTGTTTTCAAATGAACTGAAAGAAGTACTGTGTTCAGGACAAGGATGGGCTATAGCATATGACTGGAGAGACACAAAAGCTGCTTTATTTCAATGTATGTTTGCCCTGGCAGGAATCTGGGACTTACCTGTACATAATCCACACTTCGACCCAGGGCTCTGAAGGCCGTGTACATGACTTCTCTTTTTCCACCCCATTTTTGCATGATGCAAACACTTTTGTTGGCCAGGACCAATTGGGTTACATGCTGAGAGCTTTCTTTATGTGACTCGTCTGTCTCACCAGGTCCCTTTTCGTGGAAGTTGTTCTTCCAGATGTAGGTAGCTGATTTGTCCCTGCCCATGACTTCACTGAAGATGTCCATCATGTAAAGGTCATCGTCCGAGTTCCCATCGATGACCATGACGACTTTAATCCCAGGGTAGGTTAGCCTCTTCACCGATTGCAAACATTTCCTTAAGTAGTCTGGATCTTCTTGATAGGCAGCGATGCAAAGAGCAACAGTTTTGTTCAATTTAATGGGGGTTTCGAGGGATTTTTTCATTTTTCGGTGCTCCAAAAAGGCAAATAGGCTTTGGATGATGAGGTGTGATGCTAAAAAGGCACCGTACAGTCCAAAAGAGAAATAGTAGTTATCCGTTTGGATAAATTGATAGCCAACAATATAAGCAGCTGTGATTCCAAGGAGGAGAGAGACTCCAAAAAGTGTGGTTCCAATTATTCTCAGGATGCATAGAAACCTCTCACAATGCATCTGCAATATAATCAAATGACACTCTCAGTTAACCATTCCTGCCCCATGCTTGTTATACACATGGTGTTAAGAGGGGGCACCACACGGAGCATGTAAACGTTCTACCACTGTTACTCCCTTCACTTGCTATGTGACTTTCGGCACCCATTTTGCTCATCTGCAAGATGAGGCTAAAGACACCCTTCTGGCATAACTCAAGAATCCAATCCAGTAATGGTGCTATTGAAACATCATAATGTATTAAACAAATACCTAGATGTATTAAACAAATACCATAATATAGTAAACAAATTTCTTTGCTTTTATCAGCACACACACATTGTTTTTAATATGTCAGCCTCTCTGACTATAGTGTACTCTATGTGGTCATAGCTAGGCATAGAATCAAAATTTCTGAAGCCCAGCATAATCTTTCTTCCTGTACCAGGTTATCTCTTTACTCCTTGACACTGACAAGTTCAACACCCATGGAAGATTTTGATAAATTTCTTATGTCTAATTTCATCTCATTTCCAATGCAAATCCTTCAATTTAGTCCTTTCCATGTATCTGGCTGAGATTGGAGATGGAGAAACCATCTCCTAGCTCATCAATTAACTGTTTGAACTTTACTTTCAGAGCTTCATTATTTTGTTTTCAATCTGTTAATGAGGAAGTTTATCCTTGATTAATTCCAAATCTCTCATTGATACAAACAATTCTCTACTCCTAGGTATTCTGCACAATATTTTTCAAAGCCTTTGTAATTTTGAACTGGATACACACATCAAATATCTATACCTTTCATCTATCACCATCAATATTAGATGTTAGATCCTGGAGATCAGGAACCTTATTGGAACACAGTAAGCACATATAAGTGTTTGTAGAAATAATGAATATCTTCAAGAAGAAATAACATCATGCTTAATTCCAACAGGTGAGTGTGCATACTATTAAAAACTGAAGGATGTTAGACCTAAAACATGTTTTAGTTTTTAATTATAACCAGTTTTATACTTTCTCCTACATTTTATGTGTCTCTTAAATGAGATTTTGAACAACTCAAAGCTAAGAGAGCCATTTTTCTGTTCTTTTCAAAAATAATTTCCAGTGCTGGGCATAGAAAAGATGCTTGGTAAACCTATTATGTCATTTCCCCCCTGAGGTTTTCTTTCCTCCTCTTCTAAGAATGGACTATCATAAGGTCATAACTGATATAAATGTAATGTTCCCATCTTTGGACCTTTATATCAAAATTGGATATTTGTCTTATTTGTATAACTAGTACTTAATCTTTTTCTTTGACTCAACTAATGTTTTAAAAACTAAAAAAGTTATTTTAAGTGGAAACTGGGGCTAAGATTTATCTCTGTAAAACCTCTTGCTTGATATGCATATTTATAGTTTCCTACTCCAAATCAAAATTTAAAATTGAATATCCACATAGAAATGTAGTATCATCCTAGTTGTTGACAGTTGCATAGCCACCATATTTTTTCAGCTCTATAAAGACACCATTCACACATTCCCATTCTGTTCATGTATCAAAATGGTCCTAAGTAGATATGCATTCTGTTTCTGCTAAACATTAGCATGGCTGCTTTTGTGTTACCTCTCTTCCCTGAGCACAGACTGTGTGGTACACCCATGACACTCTAGCCTCCTGAAATCTGAGATGTGCATCATTTAAGAGAGAGGGTGTCCTCCTCCAAATCGACCCCTTCTGCAGGCTGGGTACACACATCAACATCTAGGGCAGTGTAGAGTCCCATGATGGAGCTTGGTTTTTGAATTGCTTTATAGAAGGGAGTCTCCCAAGAATCAGGATATCTGCTTGAACTCGGAGACCAGCACAGTGAGGCACTCCTATAATCCCAGCTATCTGGAAGGCTGAAACAGGAGGAGCTCAATTTTGAGACTTGATTGGTCAATTTAGCAATATTCTATCTCAAAATAAAATTAAAAAGGCTGAATGTGTAGTTCAGTAGTATGTGTGGGGACCTGGGTTCAATCCCCAGTACCACTGAGAGACAGAGAAAGAGAGAGACAGAGAGAGAGAGAGAGAGAGAGAGAGAGAGAGAGACAGAGAGACAGAGAGACAGAGAGACAGAGAGAGAGAGCGAGCCCACAGACAAGGGACTTCCCTTGCATTCATATTAACAAGAAATGATTTCTGGATTTTTATTTGTTTCTGATTGCTGTTGTGCATTTGGGGGTTTAGTTTACCCTAGCTAGTAAAATCTAGGTAATACACAGCAGCCTAGAAACCAGATTTGTTGTTGTTGTCATTGTTAAATGTAGATAATAATGTTTTTCAAAGACTCTTTACAGGGTTGTGCTGAGTAGCAAAATAAAATCATTTGTGAAAGTGTTTTTTTAAAAAGAAACACAATGCAGTTTAACATATCTATTTTAAAAATGTACAAAACAAGCACGAAYGTGTGTTCCACTTTTAGCAGCTGCATAGGACACCATACTGTGTAATATGGGAGCCTAACAGAAGCGACCTCAACACAAATGGAAAGTTGAGACTACTGCAAAAGGGTGAGATGGTGAGATTTTGGTGAAAGGCAAGCAAATACAGCATCCCCTTAATTAAAACAGCTGACGGGGTGCTGAGCCCTCCCATAGGGCACGTTAACCAATGCCTGAAGGTGCTGGGAGCACCAGACTTGGAACTTGTCATTTCCAAGACATGAGTCATTCTCACAAGAGTGAAAAATTTCATGGGGACTAAAGCACTTTGCCAGGCAGAAGCTTAAGTGAGTATTTAGCTTGTGTTTAAATCACCGTCACCAGCAAAAGAGCTGCCTGACATTCTTTTCCATTATTCACATTTTCCTTGCTTTTATCAGCACACGTGGACACAGAGAGTGGTCACATAGCATCTGCTGGCCACCGCTAAAGTGGGAACACCCACTTACATCATGGGAGCCTCAGGATGTCCTTTTGAAGCCTGGGAAAAGTTACTAATGAACTGCAACCATGTCACTAAAATTGAACCTTTATATTCCTGCTCCATATCTCAGCATGGCCTAGTATGACACACAGCCTTTCAGTACAGCCTAAAGGGCAAAAGGCCCATCTTAGAGCCAGCTTTGCTGAGTGAAGACATTGATCTCAGGGAGTGACACACAGGATGTGTTTTTTCTTTTATTATTCCCCTGGGTCATTTCACAGCTATGGGCGCCATATGTGTAAGACTTTGTGAGACAATCCCTGATTCATGTACTCTGGTTCGTAAGCATACTTTCCTATTAAAACAGGAGCATGGCTACATGGCTTTTCTGTCAAGTTGGAAAAACAAAGTCCCCTGCTAGATCATAAGAGCTTGCTTACTGTGAGACAGAAAGATTATTTAGAAATCTATATTCCACAAACACTTAAAATAGGAAAAAGTAATTTTTGCTCATTATCAGTCTTGAGCCTATCAAAAAATATTTAACCTTTAAATTGCTTTTGAACTTGGCCCCAATTATTTAATAACTTCTGTTGTCCACAGAACTGAAATCAAGGTAAGGAATGGCTTAATAGAGTGTAATGTAAGATCCATAAAGTGAACACACACACACACACACACACACACACACACACACACACATACACACATACATCTGTTCTCAAAGGACAAAAAACATTGCATGGTTTATACTATCTACTACTACCATTAAATAAATATCTGTTGAATGAATGAAATCCTATCATTCCTATCATCCTCGTTATGATGGCTGGTAACATTCATTCATCATTTAGTAGATTTTAGTCAGTGAAGAAATTTTTTTGCATTTTGTTTTGTTTAGTAGCATGATCTTATTTAGTCTTAGTGGCTTTAGGTGACAAATATATTCTTCACTCATGTTACAATATATGCATATGCCAAGGGATCCAAGAGGCTGAGTATGTAAATTTGCTGTCCAAAGTCAAAAACCATACTAAGGGCACATACTAGTCTAACGCCGGACACTTCTTGATAAATATTTGCTGAATAGAATTGAATTTTCATGACAGGCACCATCTTTTTGTTCTAATAAAATGGTGTTGTATAAGGGAGTTTGGGGGAAAACTTTGAAAGTGGTATCCCTGCTATTGTGGAAAGTGGGGGATGGGCACTTGTTCAAATACAGATCCTAGGCCAGCCAATGTTCAGAGAGGATTTCTGGTCTCACATACTTTCCCATGTGAATGCACCCTAAAGGGACATGGGGATTGTTTCAAAGAAGCTGCTGATTCCATCTATGCAACAGCAATTCTGCTTCTAATATCAGCAGCCAAAATTCTGTTTCACCATAAGAAAGGCATTACTGTTTCCATTGCGTCCACCTGTGGAGCAGATAGAAAGCCTTGCTGTTAGCTCATATACCCCAAATGGGACTCTTTGGGTCATTGGGCCTCAGAGCCTTTTCCTCTGCCTTGACCTTTTTACATTACCCAGAGAGCAAAATGTTGGATGAAGGGAGAACAACAGCTGCTCTCAGTGCCCTAGTGCAGTGGTGAAAACCAAGTTCCCATAGTTTTCATAAAGTGCTGCTTCCATTTATTTATCAGCATCTCTGAAAGGCTGCAGAGATTAGGTCTGATAACCCTCTTGTGAGAGGTCACAGTTTACCACTCCTTTCTAAAATAATCCCCCACCCTGCAATCTCCTTACCCCCAGCATATGCTCACCCTTTGCCGTGCTGGGTTTTCTAACTTGTTCCTGTGCACTCTCCAGAACACAGGGAATTACAAGTCTCCATAACCATTAGGTCCCTATACTGAAACCTGCTGAAAGCAGGGTTTGGCACATAGAAGGTACTCAATAAATGCATTTCAAATGAATTCATAAATTCTTTTGGACTTAGGCAATCAATGTAGACAGATAGGCATGGGTCCCATCCCTGTCATCACTGCAAGAACACTGAATACATGATGAGAGTCAACCAGGCCATTAAGGTACCTCCCTTCCAATGGTTTTTCTTACTTTTTCTCCCCCATTACCATTTTTAAAAACAGCTCCATACTTTCTTGCTTAATATATA